TTTTTCCTGGACTAAAAAAAAAAAAAAAAAAAAAAAAGAAAGGCAACAAAACCCCTCTGTGATTTCTCGGACTTTGCCTGGTTCCCCAACCCCCTTTCCTTTGCCCCATTCATGTCCATTTTTGGTATCATGCCTAAATAACTTTGTTGTTGATGAAGTCCAGGTAATGGAAAGGTTAACAAGCTTGCCAAATAACTCACCTCTCTTAGCCAAGTTGCCCATAGTTAGATCCATATACCTTTTGTCAGATTGCAGCATTACCCAAAACTTACAGAGGGATTCAATGAGCTACATTTTTGACAAATCTGTCAAGTTGATATATGAGGAGAGCCTCTTGCTCTAAGTTTCTAAATAACCTATGACTAACTGGTTGTTTCAAGTAATAGAGAATGGATCATGATTACCTGTCAAAATGCACATGCCTGATATATCAAAACAATTACTAGCAACTGTGATTTTAAGCCACAGCAGTGAAACGAGTTGCACACTTTCTAAGCTGTGAACATTTTTTTTCTTTCTAGATTAACCTTCATATTTGTTCTCATCAAGCTGTATTGTAAATTGCCATATATCATGGCATATAAGAATCACACACCTGGTTTTAGTTCAGAGTGAAGACTGTTTTGAAGTCACCAGAGATTTTTTTTTCAGTCTTTTCACTATCAGTCTTGACACTGCCTGTCTGCAAATTCAGAGTTAAGGTGAAACTCACAAAAATGAAATGTTCCCTTTCTCCCAAAGGCATTTCTTTAACATGGAATGCTCTGGGTGGTTGTTCTTATCTGGTCTGAGGGATACTTTGTGAAGAACTGATGTTTCCCTAAAAGTAATCCTGGAGAGATTTGTGGCTGATGGAAGTGCACAGTTACAACGCACACTCGTGGACAGAACTGAGGGGCTGCAGGACTGATTTAGGGTGGATGCTCTTTCCCCCCACTTTTTAAAGAGAGGCACCATCAGTGTGTCTTTTCAGAATTTTAGGAAATAACAAAACGATCTCAACTGAAGGGGAACTGTATTTATACTTAAAGGGAGTAGGAGATGTTAAAGAAGACATTCTGATGTGAAAATGACTTTTCTGTTTAAGCTGGAAGGAGGAACATGGCATTTCTGCTTGCCGAAGTGATGCAGTCTTTTGGCAGCAGAGATGTGATCTGTTCATGGTGCTGAAATGATCACTGCAGCCTACGAAGTCCTGAACAACTGGATTCAGCAGGCTGCTGCGGCTTGTAATGCAAGTCGTGCCTTTTTATGGGTCCTCAGAGGAGTCTGTCCTTTGATAAACACACATTCAAACGAAGTAGCAAGGACCCAGAAAAAGGAAACTAAACCAATTCTGCCTACACTGAGGAGGACTGGCAATGGAGAGCCCCCCATCCTCAGCTCTGTTTGTTTGCCATGATTATGTATGCATGAGTGGTTACCCAGTGCATGAACACAGATACAAGGCGCACACACACACACACACACACACACAACCCTGTGTTTGCGCTTGCCCAGGAACCCACTTCATTGTCAGGCACAAAGTAGATTTGCTCTCAAATCTAGCTTGCCTACTATTTAATAAACTTTAAATAAAAACGCCAAACAGAACACTATTCCACTGTTACTTGCTAAGAATCTCACTACATCTGCTTGGCCGTTCTTGGAATATAGAGAACACACACACACACACACACACACACACACACGCACTCCGCAAGCAAATGTATATTTGCCAGTGAGCACAGACTTACCTTGAGAAGACAGCCCTTGTTGAACATATAAAACGGAAAAGAAAACAAATCCAACATATGCCGAAAAGACCCCCATCATTCCAAAAAGGGGGGGGGTCACATCAGTGTAGCCAACAGCCAAAAAGCCCAACAAGATAGGAATGCAAACGTATCAGAGGCTCAGTCTCAGAGCCCTGCGCGCGACCCTGCAAACATCCTGGAGCTCACTCCGCGAGGACTGGCTTTGGGGAGAGGGGAGTGCAATTCGCGAAGGTTAAAACCAGCTGGCTCGGATTCGGAGAGGCTTCGAGTCCACACTCGGGCTTGCAACGCGGGGAAGTGCCTCCGCTGCTTCGCTGCCTGCTTTCAGCTACCTGGCAGCTCGTCCAACGTCAGCCCGCTGCTCCGGCTTGCGTGATCACTGCCCTCCCTAAACGCCGAGCCAGCTCGGGAAGTGGGGAGTGGGCAAGGGGGGCGGGCTGGAGGACTTCACCGGGCTCGCCGCGCCGCAACTTTTCCCTCTAATGGCTGCGATGATGCCTTTAACTCTCTGCGCGCCGGACGGCTCCCCACCTGCCAGGAACGCTGGCCGGGCAGCCCGCGGCAGGCTCGGGGCTTGGCGGCTCCGTCTACGTTTTCTTTCTGGAGAGCAGGATCATTTATTTTTTTCCAATTTGCCCTTTTTCCCCATCGATTGAATCTTTCTTGCCTCGGCAGACTGGATCGCTCGGCGCTTAAGAGGACAATACAGTTGTAGGATTGCGGTGTAGGATTGGGGGGGTGCTGGGAGCTGGAGATTTGGGGAGGAAGTTGGGGCATTGTTGAAGGGGGAAATGGGATGGGGTGAAGGAGACTGCTTTGGGGTGATGAAAACAGTCATTTGAGGGAAATGTCGCTTAGCCAGTTATTAACTGCTTTAACTAGAATGATCACATGCTATTATTCCTCACGAATTTATTGCTGAACAGCCTCCAGTGGAGGAGAAACAGCTCATGCAGGCACCATACCACTCTAGCTGGCAAATGGAAAAGACAAAAAGTATAAAAAGTCACGTATTGAGAGAATTTTCCAGAAAGAAAAGCCCATCATACTATGATTACTTTTATTTTATTTTATTATTTTTTAAATTCATATACCCCTCTGCCTTTCCTGTTCTCATCTGTGCTGTGGAATGGGGGAGGGGCTTTAAATACCAGTAAGGTCTTCATTGCATGATTTTTCTTTTTGTTTATATGCTTTTCTTTTGCATAACAATAACTAGTGTTCCTTACGACATATGAATAAAGAATATTATTTTGGGGGAAAAAAGCACAGTAAGTTTTAGAATTTGGAACAAATCTACTTATTTGCCCTGGAGAGGGTTTGAGATAGAGATATTCTGTTTCTTATTAAGAATCTACAAACAGTATGTTAAAGACTCCATTTGTCCTTATGAAGTCCAACCATTAGCCAATGAATTTAAATGTTTTTAACAAAATTAAAATCATTTGCTATCTAAGCAGAATACCAGATATTTTATTCCCATTATTATTTCTATGCAACTATACCACAAATCTTCAAAATTATTTCAAAATATGACTCAGCCTTAACAATGCTGTCAGGAAACCAATGCAGTATATGTATTTTCATTTTACTGGTAAAGAATTTGTAGTTGGCTAATTCCTTCACTGACCAGAAAGAAATTAACCTTATCAGAACTGTTGGATTTTTAAACCACTTATCCTTCTACTGCTGAATGCAGCAATAACTTAAATGATCAGAACATATTATAAAATACAATATTATTTATTTTCTGAAGATATATTTACCTTTCACTATGGGTAGAGACAGAGTATAAGATTTATAAGTTTTGGAGAAAGTCATGGGGAATATTTTACATCTGTTCATGTTTAGGCCAACAAGACTCCATATCCTTCTTGTATTGAGCAAAGGATTCTGAAGTATGTCATTTCAAGAAAATAAGTCTCTTTACCTCCAAATACTCTCTCGTGGAGAATGTTCAGAATATAGAAACAATCCAAGTTAATATACTTACCCCATACTTAACATTATTTGGAAAATAAACAAAACTTTGCAGGTATTAGTTGCAGAGGTTAGTTGTCTCCAGCTTTAAATTTTATCCCTAACAAGATATGCTTAATGTTTATTTCACGGTTTTAGATTTAGTTGAAACATTTAACATAAACATGAGACTAATATGTCATGAAAATGTTCCGACTTCAAGGTTATCTGCTGTTAGAACAGTTTCCAATATAAAGAAAAGGGCATCCATTTTAAACAAGGGAATTTCTGAATTAATTTAGCAAAGCACCTCAAATTCTCTCAAAGGGAGCTTGATCTCTGTAACTATAAAAATACAATAAAAATGAGTTGAAAAAGTGTTAAAAGTGTGAGAAAAGCTTTTATAAGACAGATAAACTGTCAAACTACTTTATAAGCATTTAAACAACAAAAAGAAAAAGAAAGAAAAAAGAAGAAAAGAAGAAGAAATAAAGTAACAAGGAAGACAAAATTGGAAAAGGATTTATGTTCTTTTCCTTCTGAAAAATGCCTGATAGGTATTTAATTTTCAATTTTGCCAAGATAAACCAATAATTTTATCTTAAATATCATTTATATTGTATGTATTATATTATATTGTATGAATTGATACTATTGTATAATTTCAAGGACTATAAATAGTGTTGGTAAACACATTTGCATTATTTACTTTAGAACATTTGCCTTATTAAAGCCAAAAATGTTTCTATATTAACAGTTTGAAATGATAAAAAAGTTTAATTAAAAAGTAAATATATCTCATATATCAAAATGTCACAGTTCTGAGACAAAGTCCCACTATTTTTATAAGTCCTTATAAAACACCACATTCTCCTATAAAACTGGTGGTAACTTACCAGGATGGATTACTTGTTTGCATCCAGAAATGGGAGAGACATTTCCTTCCCATTTCTCCTTTCCCAAAATGGTTATTGCTGGTGTCTTACCCTATAAAAATGACTGCAAATCTCTTCTTCAAACAAACAAACACCTTTCTGTGAACTAATGCTCCAAAAATAAAATCTTAAATCTCCTTTTTTAATTTGTTTTTTTGCCTTCTAAACTAACTTTTGTTTTTGTTTTTGTTTTTTTTCTATTTTAAAATTTAAATATTTGTATCACCACGCTATTTTCCCCCTAAAATATGTAATAGAAATTCTTATTTGAATATGCTCCTTCCTCGGATATAAGTCAATCTTTGAGTTCATTTCATTGCCTTTCTTTTGGTATCTTATTTAGATTGCATTGCACTCTTTTCTTGTGTATAAAAACTTGTTTAACTTTATCTTTCAAACACTGCTGACTTATGATGTCCACAGTCTTTCCTAAACACTTTCAGAGCCTTTGATCCACCCAAGAGCTAAGCAGGAGAGGGGTTCTTCAAGATCTGTGATTATCAACTGCATTACCCCCTTCTCCTAAGACAGCTTTGGGGCATTTGTTCACTTTGAATCACATTTCACTCCCAAAGGCTCATGATAAAATTACTTTCCCTATTCTACTTGCATAATCTGTCCTAAATTGGGACTTAAGTGCCCAATGTAAACTTTTAAAAATTGTCTCAATAATTGGAAAACCCCAAATTAAGTATTTTATTTAGAAATAACCTTTAAAATAGAACCATCTAAGAAATTAGAAGATCATCCTTGTGGATCCAGAAGCATAAGCTTAATTTCTTCACATCTCTGGCAAGCGGTTTAGTTGAACTGCTCACAATTTCCATCCAAGCACCAAGAGATTCATTCTACTGTGTTCTCAAACATGGTCTTTGGAAAAGCTCAAACTGCATAGGAGAGAATATTTCAGGGCCTTGAGAAATATTTTCACTTGTAACCTCATGCCTAGAGTATTTTTTTTCTCACTTGGGAAAATAAAAGGAAATAGACCTCTTTAGATATGGAAGCAATATAAAAAATCCACAGAGAAACTCTTTCAACAGAAGAAAACAAGAGTCAGGAGAAAGTCACTAACTCGTATTAACTGAAGATGAGCTTTTAAAATTTGTTTTCCGTTGAATCATAGAAGCCTATGCCCTGGTAGTACTGGGTTTAGTGGTCTCCTCCACATGTCACGTTTTCAAAGATATGAGAGAGTCAAGGGCAAGATAATAACAACAGAAACAACTTAGAAATGACATCTCTTTCTGTACATGTATATAGCATGTATTCCTAAAATGAATGAATTTCAGAAATGGCATAGATCTTAGTAAGCAATCAATCCAAACTGCTCCTTCTACATATGACAGGCCAGGGACTACAAGTAATGACTGCTCACTTGCATCACAAAACCAAATCAAGACTTTCTTTCATCAAGATCCTAAGATCTAAAATGCTTACAACAAAGAATTGAGGATTAACTATCATAGGGCAAGCAAACAAAACTTGTTCATGCTCTTGGCTTTAGAGGGTATATTGAAAAAGTGACCACTAAAAAGAAAATCAATTGCACCCAAACTCTCTCCTAGATTCTACAAAACAAGTCACTTGAAATTCCAGCTGCTGAGAATAGTCTGTGAATCTCCTCCACACAATTTCCAGTTGTCTCATATTTTGCATCTTATAAAATAAACAATTCAGAGAGAAGGAATAACCAGTGGTCATTGGAAGTGATCAGCATGGTAAACAACCAGGTGGCCTAGATTGAGTAACTTCCCATTTTATGGCTACTGGTCATTTTAGTCTTCCACACGCCATTTCTCCCTTTATCTTTTCCTTTAATGCATGACCAAAATATAAATTACCTAGATCTAGCTTATATTCTGTGAATCTCGATGTAACTTTGTAGTTGCAGTTCAGGAAGTCAGAACTCAAATTATACGTGAGGTCATGTTATGTCATTTTCAAACTGTAATATCTGGTCTAGATGTGACCTCCAGAAACGGCAAAAGGAAGTGTCATATTTTCTGTAAAAGTTAATATCACGATCTGCTTAGATGTCCTCCACAAAACTCATGGACCCTTACCTTTATCTTTTTTTTCTCTTTTGAAAGATTAAAATGGGCTCATAATCAAACATAAGTTGTGTCTGCTAATTTCTTCATTAGCAAAAGAAGTTAACGTGGAACTAGGTGCCTACCCTTGGTAAAAAATCTAAAAATCTATAGCTAGAAGCCATGAAGTTGAGGCTGCTGTAGCTGCATCTACCATCTCTGGAATGTTTCTTCTTGCTTCAAAATTATGCCGCAGTCAGTTGAAACTTGGGGTTTGTGATATTTCTTAATTTCAATATATGCTTTCTTTCATTAAAAATCCCATGGGTTTGATTAGACATGAATAACTAAATTCTACATCTATTTTTGTGCAACAGGTAATTATTTGGGGGAAAGAAAACCAAAATACAAGAAAAGCAGCAATTTTTGGTAGAGTCTATAATTCCAAGCTTGTCCATGATTCTTTGCCTATATTTACAGTATTCATGAAAGTAAATAGTAACTTATAATAATGCTACTGAACATCTTTCAAGAAAC